ACACGCTGAACAATTACATGCTAAGAATTGATCATTTCATCAGCATTTCTCGTTCTCCCAAACTTCCACTTGTGTTTCTATAACTCAATAGAAACACGGTACATGTTTTCCATTTCTTAAATAAGTTAATTATTGAAATATCATAAATTTTGTACCTTTCCAGGATGCAGCTTCTTTGGTTTCTGTCAGTAGTGTCCCTACTGTTATCAGTAACAACTGCAGCAAAACAGAATTCCAAACCTAACATCATATTCATATTAGCAGATGATTTGGTGAGTTAATTAAAGTAAATAGTGCATTTGATTTATAAAGTAAGGATTGGGAAACATGAATTTTAATTGTTAATGTTAAAAAAAGGAATTATGCCGTCATGATTCAATTTAGTTCCATGTTGCTAATAAGCACCCTCTTATCCATTCCTTCCAAGTTCCTTCCTTCCATTCATTTTTTCATTCCTTCAGCCATTGTTATTGTTGCATATCATTCAACAGTTATGGTTTTTCTTCAGATTATTGCAAGAAATGTTGACCAGAGAAAAATAAAAGGCAATTTTATTTTTCAGCAAATCGAAATCTGAATGTCAACATAAATAATTAATTAAAATTTTCTGTTGTATAATAATTATTATAAATGTTGCTTAAAATTATTTCTTGCACCTTTAGGGATTCGATGACGTGAGCTTTCATGGCTCCAAGCAGATTCTAACTCCAAACCTGGATGGAATGGCAAACAGTGGAATTATTCTCAACAACTATTATGTGCAGCACATATGTACACCAACTAGAAGTGCTTTAATGACTGGTCGATATCCCATCCACACAGGTACCCTTATTATATTTATAGCTTGCTCTATGGAGAGAACTTGTCACAGTGTAACATGTGCTGTGATTGGCTGATTATAGTTGGAGTGGTACTGTCCAAAGGCATTGATACTAAGTAAAACTGATGTTGATGTTAGACCGGCTGTCAAATACCAGACAATAGGGAGCTTGAGAAACCACGACGGTGACGCCAAGGACAACNAAATAGTACATTTGATTTATAAAGTAAGGATTGGGAAACATGAATTTTAATTGTTAATATTGGAAAAAGGAATTATGCTGTCCTGATTCAATTTAGTTCCATCTTGCTAATAAGCACCCTCTTATCCATTCCTTCCAAGTTTCTTCCTTCCATTCATTTTTTCATTCCTTCAGTCATTGTTGTTGTTGCATATCATTCAACAGTGATGGTTTTTCTTCAGATTATTGCAAGAAATGTTGACCAGAGAAAAATAAAAGGCAATTTTATTTTTCGGCTCATCAAAATCTGAATGTTGTCATAAATGATTAATTAAAACTTATTATAGTAATTATTATTATAAATAATGTTGCTTAAAATTATTTCTTGCACCCTCAGGGATTCGATGACGTGAGTTTTCATGGCTCCAAGCAGATTCCAACTCCGAACCTGGATGGAATGGCAAACAGTGGAATTATTCTCAACAACTATTATGTGCAGCACATATGTACACCAACTAGAAGTGCTTTAATGACTGGTCGATATCCCATCCACACAGGTACCCTTATTATATTTATAGCTTGCTCTATGGAGAGAACTTGTCACAGTGTAACATGTGCTGTGATTGGCTGATTATAGTTGGAGTGGTACTGTCCAAAGGCATTGATACTAAGTAAAACTGATGTTGATGTTAGACCGGCTGTCAAATACCAGACAATAGGGAGCTTGAGAAACCACGACGGTGACGCCAAGGACAAC